AAAGCTGAGTCGAGAACTCAGTTTTATGGTTCCAATTTAATTTATTCTCAATTGTCTCTAAAATTATACAAGTTTTTTTTTAAAAATGCTTCTTTATTTTTTGAGAGACAGAGAGAGTGCAAGTGGGGGAGGGGCAGAGAGCAAGTGAGAGAGAGAATCCCAAGCAGGTTCCTCACCGATAGCACAGAGCCTGATGTGGGGCTTGATCTCACAAACCATGAGATCATGACCTGAGCCAAAATCAAGAGTCAGGTGCTTAACTGACTGAGCCACCCAGGCACCCCACACTGGTTTTAATTAAGTAGAGATTAAGTATTGTGGATTGCAACAATTACTTTTTTTTTTAATAAATAGTTTATTGTCAAGTTGGTTTCCAACAACACCGAGTGCTCATCCCAGCAAGTGCCCTCCTCCATGCCCATCACCCCCCCTCCCCCCCACACCCATCAGTCCTCAGTTTGTTCTCAGCATTCAAGAGTCTCTCATGGTTTGCCTCCCTCCCTCTCCCCCACTATTTCCCCCCTTCTTCTCCCCCATGGTCCTCCGTTAAGTTCCTCCTAATCCTCCTATACGTGCAAACATATGATATTTGTCCTTCTCTGCCTGACTTATTTCACTCAGCATAACACCCTCAAGTTCCATCCATGTTGCTACACATGGCCAGATTTCATTCTTTCTCATTGCCACGTAGTATTCCATCGTATAGATAAACCATATCTTCTGTAACTAACTTTAAAGTGGATTAATGTTTATGTTTCATTTTCTTTTAGTATGATAAACTTAAACACCTATGAACAGTGAAATAAAATCTGAAAATTTCAATGTGTATGTTTTGGGATCGGTGATACTCTGTACAACTGCAAGACAGTCTGTGTCTCACTGAGAAAAGGAGGTTTTTTCTTTTTGTGGCAAGTTCCAGGCATCTTTGATCATTTCCTTCATATTAACTTTAGGTTCCTCTAAATACATTCTTCATTTTCATCAGGAAATTTTGTCTGAGGGTGAGGAGAAGAGCATTCTTTTCTCTAATGGTTTCTTTCTTTTTTTAAAATTTTTAACATTTGTTTATTTTTGAGAGAGTGTGGGTGTATATATGTGTGAGTGGGGGAGGGGCAGACAGAGAGAGAGAGACAGACAGACAGACAGACAGACAGGCAAAATCTGAAGCAGGTTCCAGGCTCTAAGCTGTCAGCACAGAGCCTGACATGGGGCTCAAACTCACAAACCATGAGATCATGACCTGAGCCAAAGTCAGACACTTAACTGACTGAGCCACCCAGGCGCTCCCCCTCAGTCTCAAACTTTTTACTTATATGTTTGGCTTTTGAAAGAAAAGCCAAAGTAGTCATTATGGAAAAACAGAACTCTGTTGGTCTGCCTCGCATTTATTTTGTGGCTTAGTAAGTTTTTGTTTTAATTATATATGGGGGCACTATAATATTTTCAGTATTTAGGGCTTTAAAAGTTTCTTCATGCAGCTGTGATGAGGCCACTTACAGAATCCTGGGCCCCATCCTTGGCCAGCACTCTCCCGCCCTGATAACCCTCCAGCTCACCCTTGCTATCTTCCTCTCCTGCTCTTCCCCGAGTTCTGCATCCTCTAGGTTATGCATTGCTTATTCTGCTGTTCAGACAGAACCTTGTTCTCTCACTTTTTTTTTAATCTCCAGATTCCTGCTATGGTACCTCTCAAGCAAGCAGAGGATTTTACTGCTAAGACCTCCCCTTCCATTCATCCAACTTATTCGTCAGATACTCTTTATGCTGAAGGATTCACACAAACCAATTCCACATAAAGACACTGAATTATTTCCTTTAATTTGTTCTTCAAATATATTAAAATGAAAATGACTACTCCTAATTAAATCCATTTGCCTTTTTTATAACACCCTGGATTTCCTTTTCTTTTTTCTTTTTTTTTTTAAAATGTTTTTATTTTTTTTTATTCCTAGGACAAAGTGTGAGCAGGGAAGGGTCAGAGAGAGAGGGAGTCACAGACTGAAACAGGCTCCAGGCTCTGAGCTGGCAGTCAGCACAGAGCCCGACGCGGGGCTCGAACCCACGAACCACGAGATCATGACCTAAGCGAAAGTCGGACGCTTAACCGACTAAGCCACCCAGGCGCCCCTGGATTTCCTTTTCTGAAGCCAGTTCTAATTCTACGGTTTCCTCTGGTCTGGTAGATGTTCTAGAAGATTTCTGGGATATTTGTGTATGTTTTAGACAGAGTACAGCAGACTGGCTTGTGGTCAAGTCAAGAGACCGGCTTGGCTGACTGTCTTTCATCTATTGTTCTGACTCTCCCGTGACCATTTTTCATACCAAGATGGCAGATCTCGTTGGTGTTGTTCTCTTGGCTTCATGGAGAGAAATATTCTATCTTCCCCATCCCTGTGGATGTTGCCATTGAGAGCCACACATTTTATTTACAAATACTCTGGAGCTCTGGTGTCACATGTTTATGACTAGCTATCAGTTTGCTGTCTATAAGAGGGTTTTGTATTTCAAGAAAGGGAGACTGGCATCCTTGGGAACATAAAAAGGGAGAGGCCAGTGGTGAGAGAGCAGTAGAAAATATTAGTGCAACGTTTGTTATTTGAGGAAAGAAGGCCCTGGTAGAGGTAAAAAAGAACAAGATGAAAGTGCAGTGGGGCTGTGAGCCTCCCGAGGGTAAATGACACCCACCGATGAAAGAATAGAAGAAAAACGCCAGCTATGTGAAATAAAGAGGAGAGGAGAGGAGATGTGGTGGGGAATACCAAATAGCTCAGCTAGAATGATGCAGCGATGGCCATGTGATAGACCGAATCTACAAGATTCGGGCATTTGTCCAGCTCCCTTTTTGGCCCAAGGGTTGAAAGAGAGGGACTGGAGGCAATTTTCCCTGAAGAAGCAAATCTAGGTCAGTAATGAAGTCACAGGATCATACACCTCTCTTCTTTCCCTCTCTCCTTCTATAAAATTGGCTGGGTCATAATCGGCACAGAGAGGTCCTTTTAGCTTCCTGCTTCTCCATCTTCTCCAGCCACCAGCCTGCAAGCATCCCCTGAACACAGTGTGTCTTCTGTTCTCTCGCATTTCTGCATTCCTGCAGGTGCTGGTGGAAGTCTGTGCCTTCTGCCCTAAGTGCCATTCTCTTCTTACATCAGTGATTAACTGGAGGTAAGTCAGACGTTTTCACAGGCTCATGGGTACATTTGAGACTCAATGTAGCATCTTCCATTAATGAACTAAGTGCCTGACTTTCTTCCAGAGAATGGCTTAAGCACTGGAGGGAAAGGAACCTAATATATGTTATTTAACAGTGAGGAGAAAACACTGAATATCACCTCCAAATTCTTTGTGCAAATCTCACTCAGTTTAGGCTCCTGGTTTGAGAAGGATGAGCAACTGAGCTGACTCAGGGGGGACTCACACCTGTGGTTTTAAAGACTTGGAATGTTTCATGACTCAGGCTGTCACTCAGCTTCCTTTCCTGTAGCACAAAGGAGCTGTTAGGCACCCGGGCAACAATTAAAGGTGTGGTCAAGGGTCCTTCCTTAGGAAAGGCAAACAAAGGTGCTATAGAGAGTTGAATTTTGTAACCAAAAAGATATGTTCAAGTTCTAATCTCCAGAACCTGAGAAGTTTGGAAATAGGGTGTTTGTAGATATAATCAAGTTAAGATGAGGTCATGCTGGAGTAAGGTGGCCCTAATCCCATATGACTGGGGCCCTTAGGAGAAGAGACACACACAGAGGAGAATGTGACGAGCGAGACACACAAGGAGGATCCATGTGATGGGGAGCAGAGACTGGAGTCATACATCTATAAGCCAAGCAACCCCAAGGCCTGCTGGTAACACGAGAAGGTAAGAGAAAGGCCTGGAACAGATTCCCCCCTAGAGACTTCAGAAAGGGCATGGCACTGTCAACACCTTGATTTGGGGCTCTTAGCCTGACTATAAGAAATTTCTATTGTTGTAAGTCACCCCCTTTGTGGTAATTTGTTACAGAAGACAAGGGAAACTAATACCGTCGTCCTTGAGCTGGAGTCACAGATGGCTGCCCCCACCGCTATCTGGGCTGTCACTCCCAGATCACAGGCTCGGACTCCAAAACATCCACTCCCCATCGTGGGTGGGAGTGTAGGGCCGGTGGCGGCCCTCACACTTGCTCCTGCACCCTGCCACACCGGCTTGGAATGGTGGCTTTGCCATGGTTTTCCTGCCACATAACCCCCTACCTGACTCTTTCCAGCCTATGCTCCTACGAGACTGGATCCAGTCTTCGTCCCTTGCGGCCATTCTCTAGTTCTGCTGAGATCAGGTTGACCACGTGTAATCATGTGACACTGGCCTCCAGTTTCCAATGAGAGCTCAACCTAATCAGCAGAAACTCTTAGCAATGCGGTATCTGTTGGTGCTGACGTTTGCCACTGTTCCTTATCAGTCACTGGACCTCCCGCTTAGTCCCCACGCAGCCCCACTCTCAGGTCAGGCTCTCCGGCATATACCTCCCTATCCTGCCTGCTCAGCCCCAACCAAAGCCCACTGTGGAGGCCCTAGGACCCCTTCGAGCTTGCCTGTCTGAGACAGGGCAGCAGGCCTGAGGGCTCTGGGCTTTGTCACCCACTGTCCTCACAAAACTGCCCGCTTACCCTAGAATGAAGATTTGGAGCCAAAACCTAAATACAAATGGCTAGCGCTCACCACAAGGTGACACAGCGGAAGAAAGGATAACTTAATTATTCACACATATGGGACACACTGAGAACAATGCTGGAGCGAATGGGAAAGGCTGTTTGTGACCTCAGGCAACTGGTCATCCACCACCCCCGAGGCTACCCTGAGTCTGAGAGGACTGCCACTCCACACACCACAGCCCATTCAGCATGGGGAGCTCCACCCTGACATGAACACAGTGCAGTCCTTGGAGCTGTGAGACATGAGAAGTAATGACGCCCGGAATGTGCAGATGACATCTTCCCTTCCCATAACAGGTAAGTCCACCTGAGCTCACCTGCACTGCCCGTGGTCCCTGTCGCATTCCGGGGTGGCAGCCCCAATGGCACCCCTCCTGGAACAGTTGCAGCCTTCGCAGCCGGCCAGGGGGTGGAAGCTGAAGGAATGCGGCTCGCACACCTCACACTGGGGCCTGACCGTGTGGGGAGGGCAGAGGCACCTCCCTGTTGTCTCCTCACAAAGGCGTGGGCCACAGTTGCATGCTGGCCAGGGAATAAAGAGGCACAATGTGAGGGTTAGACACCACGTGGCCTGTAGCAGGACTTCACCAACTACCAGGATTTCCAGAAGCTTCCAAGGGTCTGGGAGAAATGTCTCGCTTTTTCTTCATTATGGCATTATTGAGTGTGGCTGATCTGAAAGGTATTCTTGGAGCCAAAACCAACCATATTACATACGCATGGCAGACATGGTGTGAGGCACAGCTGGACCCACTGGTGCCGAGACAGATACTCAAAGAAGCCCACTCAGCTGCAGTCACATGCCATTCTAATGTGACACCTGTCATTTGTCAGAGGGTCCTGTTCCTCACAGGCTTCCTGAAGTGCCTCCACATCACCCCAGTGCACTGAGTTCAAGGTCAGGGCATAACACAGCAGCAGCAGGACCCTCATTAGGCAAAGGCTCCAGGAGAGGACTGTGCACCACACCTGTACCCCTCACTTCATGTGGCCTATGCTGACCCAGTGTCTCAGCCACAGGCTCACTCTCAGATGAAATTCCCTGGGCTTCCCATTCAGAGAGTACTCTGCTCCTGTGGCCCTGGCCTTCCTCTTTTTTTCTTTTTTTGTTTTATTTATTTATTTTGAGAGAGAGAGAGCGCACACGTCCACGCGTGTGTCAGGGAGGGGCAGAGAGAAAAGGAAAAAGAGAGAATCTCAAGCAGACTCCATGCTGTCAGCATGGAACCCAATGTGGGGCTCGAACTCATGAATTGTGAGACCATGACCTGAGCTGAAACCAAGAATCAGATGCTTAGTGACTGAGCCACCCAGGCGCCCCACCTCCTCCTATTTCAATCGAGATTTGGTTAGGCTGCAAAAATTGAAGGGGTTTCCAATAGGAAGAGGGATTGAACTGTCCAATATTTCCATGCTTAAGGCTCTCTCTTTATACTCGCCTGCTGCCAAGTGCATGGGTCACATAACTTAGGAAGCACAAATATTTAGCTTCTAGAACCTCGTACTTGGAATGTGGTCCATTGGCCACCAGCATGGGCATCATCTGAGTAGTTAAAAGAAATGCAGACTCTCAGGCCCCAACCCCGGGCCTCCTAACTAAGAATCTGAATTCTCACAAGATCCCAAGGTGCAAGGGGAGTCTCCAGCACAGTGAACATCAAGAAGGCCTGCCCTCAGGGCACCTGGGTGGCTTAGTTGGTTAAGCATCTCACTCTTGATATAGGCTCAGGTCATGATCTCACAGCTGTTGAGACTGAGCCCTGTGTTGGGCTCCATGCTAGGTGTGGGGCCTGTGGGGGATCCTCTCTCTTCCTCTCCCTCTGCCCCTCCTTCGCTCTTTCTCACTCTCTCTCTTAAAAAAAAAAAAAAAGGCCTGCCCACCCTAGATGACTGTCATCCGTCTGGGACCAGACACAGCCCTGGATGACCCAAACGTGCACTTACGCTTGCAGTTTGGGAATCCATAGTAGCCCACTCGGCAGCGGGTACACTGTCTCCCAATGACACTGGGTCGGCACTGGCACTGCCCACCCTCTGGGCTGCAGTGACGGCCAATGGCCCCAGTGGGGTGGCACTCACAAGGCAGCGCGCCCTTGTGGTAAAGGGCCACCAGGGATCTGGCAGAGTTCTTACAGAATCCAGAGGCCGTCTGGGGGCTGTGAAGACAAAGTAACAGTATTATCGCAGGAGGCATGCCCAATAAGAGTCCCAACCTCTCCTTCCCTCTTGCTCCACCAAAGGGTGTTGTAGGGGCAGTGCTCTTGCTGTGGAGTCTGGGAAGAAATGAGAGACTACCCCACCCCAGGATTCACAGCCAGCAACAGCCACCCCTCCTTGTGTCCATCTATTCCAGAGCACATCACAGGACTGGCAGGTGGGAACTTGTGATGGCTGAGATAAAAGGGCGAAAATTCACCTATAGGATAGATTCTACAGTATGGGAATTATATCTCAATAAAGTGGTTACCAAAAAAATTATACCTATATGTGTATATACCAGTAACAGTAACAATGAAGAGGAGGCGATGGCAAAGTACCTCATTTATTGAGTGTTGTGTGTTAGAAGTTTAGCCTATGTCTCACTTAACCTCACAACAACTCAACCAGTTAGGCCTAAGCCTCATTTCACAGATAAGGCAACTGAGGTTTCTAGAAGTTCAGCAACATGTCCAAGGCCACAGAGCTACAGAGTGACCAAGTAGGCATTCAAACCCAGAGCTGTTGACTTCAGGGTCTTACTCTAATATTTTCTATACAGGAGACATTTGCCAAGCCAGGCCCCCTGGAGTTCCTGGGTCCCTCAGGAAGCCTCCAAGGGGGCAGGGAGGGTATACCTCTCTGATACTCTTTGCTCAATCAGATGGCAAAAAAGGGAGAATCTGGGCTGACATGATTTCCCAGTAGAAGGTACCCCTTGTGGCTGTCTTTTAGGAATCCAAGCTGGACGACAGGAAGCATCATAGAGACCAAGAAACTCCTAAGCAGCCTATGAATCCCAGCTTGGAGGGTGAACCTCTGGTAAGATCAAACTTGAGGACATTAGCCTCGCCCAGATGTGCAGGACGAGGTCTGATGTGGGATGGTGTATGCAAGGGAAAAGCACCTCCCTCCCCAGACCCAAGACTCACTGCCAACCCATTGAGCCCCTGAAGGAAGAAGACAGACCCAAGGGCCAGGCCCACCCTGGGCCTCGCTCCCAGCGGGAATGTGGGAGAGCCTTCTGAATCTCCACAAAGTGATACTTACTCAATATAAAAACTGTTTCCTCCACAATTGGCAATAAACTCAAATGACTTGTCCACTGATTTTTTGTGAAGCACTTGGTAGTCGTAATTCTCTGCAGGCACCACCAGAACACGGACCTAAAGAAAACCTGTCAGCGTGTCTTTGGATTCCCAACAGCAGGGCACACCTACGGCTCTTCATTATGTTTTCTCTTCACTACGATCAATGTTCTTTACTGCTAAGCCCAAGACCAACTGAAACAGGATTTATGAAAAAAAAGAATCACAAGAACTACTTTAAATCAGTGTTAAAGGCTCCACTCACGTTCCTATGCAAGGAATAGTGTGTCAGAGTGCCTGCTCAGAGAAGCAGCAGCCTTAGTGCTCCGTGGGGACAGCAGATCTAGGGATGAGCAGGGTCCTGTTAGATGGTCAGGGCCCCTTGTGATCTATGCCTGGGATGACTGTCGATCTCCAAAGGTTGCATTTTGTATTTTTAAAGGTGAACAAACTAAAATGGCAGGATCAATGGGCAAAACTCATACCGTGGCGTGCCCTGAAGTTTACATTATGCAGACCCTTTATTATGAATAACTGCAGCCCCAGGCTTTAAAAGTACTGTTCGGCTCTCTGTACCTGTACAAATCAGACTATTCCAGTAATAAATGCTATAGGAAATTTCAAATGTCTTTGTCAACTATTTACCAACTTACAGCTTATAGAGAACTCACTGCTGTCATGTTAGTCAACCAATGAGCATTTGCCAAGCACCACATGCCAGGGGGTGTTCAAGGCACAGGAGGTACAAATTGCATAAAGCCAGGTCCCTGTCCCTAGGAAGATGGCATCCTCAGAGAGAGAAGGAAGCATGAGCAAGAAACTAGAGGGTCGCACAGCAGGGCCTGGACAATATTGCCTGGCTCTCTGGAAAGCTTTACAGGCATTGAGTGACCATGATCCCATCAGCCAAGGTAAGGAGCAGGGCAGTGGATACCTGGGGTTGTGCAAGTAACAGGCTTAAGTCTGAGGGACTCCTAAGGTCCCTCGCTTTGTAGACATGCAGTAGATGGTCCCAAACTGGGCCTGGAGCTCAGAAAATTTCAGCGATGAATTTAGAGATGTGGTGTCATTCTCCCAGAAGAAAGAATGGAATCAATGGGTACAGATGATAGTATCCACAGAGAAAGGACGGAACAAGGCGGCTTAGCATCGAACCCAAGGGAACGTCACCATACAGGGACAAAGGGAAAAGGAAATCACTATAGGAACACTAGAGAAAGTGAGAACAAAATGAGAGAAACAGTGATGGAAGCCCAAAAAAGAAAGCTTCAAGAAAAAAGGAGTATTACATGCTTTAGAAAGAGACCAGTCAGGTGAGGAGTGAAGAGGAGGGGCTGATGCAGAGTGAGATGCTTGTTCACAAGAGTTCCTATTTGCTTCTATTGTTCCAATTTCCTGTGACTTTAACTGTTGCTCACTTTTTTGGGGGGGGAGGGGTGGCAAAAGGTAGCCATGAAATGTTAACATTTTTCTATAAACATGACTTCCATTTCTTGGAAGAACTATTGTCATGAGCCAAACACGCACAGAGAATGGTTGTCCAAGGCAAGAACATGAAGAGCAAGGTGAGGGACAAACAGAACGTACCAATACTAAGGACTTCCCTTCTGGAGCCTCCACAGTCACAGCCACCTCTGGCTCAGAGATGTCAAATTCAACCTGACTGTCAGCAATCACTTGGTCCCTGCAGCCAAGTGTGTGGGGGCAAAAAGAGGCGCGGATGACACCTGGGGGCAGGGCGAGAGAGGAGTTCCTGTCACAGCACCGCATGCACGAGCCTGGCATGCAGCCATGACACCTGCCCCCTGATGCTCACCTGCCCGCGGCCGCCCTCCATCCACAAACACCTGTGTGGGAAATGTTGGGTGCGCTGGCTGATAAAAATGGATGACAATGACATATCTGCCCAGGTGTGGGACAAGTCTTCTCAGGGTCACTTGGTTCTAGGTGGAAACAAGGAAAAAAACCTCCTCAAGTTGTAGACTATGAATATTTACATGTTAAAAACCAAAACAACCAGGGCTCAGTCAGTTAAGTGTCTGACTTCGGCTCAGGTCATGATCTCATGGTCTGTGAGTCTGAGCCCCATGTTGGGCTCTGTGCTGCCAGCTCAGAGCCTGGAATATGATTCGGATTCTGTATCTCCCTCTCTCTCTGCCTCTCTTCTGCTCTCTCTCTCTTTCTCAAAATAAAGACATTAAAAAAAAAATGAAAAGAGTTGGCTTTAAAAAAATAAATAGGGGTGCCTGAGTGGCTCAATCGCTTAAGCGTCTGACTTCGGTTCAAGTCATGATCTCATAGTTCATGGGTTCGAGCCCAGCATCGGGCTCTGTGCTGACAGCTAGCTCAGAGCCTGGACCTGCTTCAGATTCTGCATCTCCCTCTCTCTCTCTGATTCTCCCCTGCTCGCTCGCTCGCTCGCTCTCTCTCTCTTTCAGAAATAAATAAAACATTAAAACATTTTTTTAAATAAATAAATAAATAAACAAATACCAAAACAACCTAGTTATTTACCCAGGTGAGGCAAAAACCTATGGTCACACAAAACCTTTGTTTGAATGTTGACAGAGGCACTATTTGTAATCAGAAAGACTGGATATAAAGCAAATGGCCCCCAACTCAGAATGGATAAACCAATGAAGGTACAACCGTAAATGATGTTGGATGGAGTGTAATTTGGTACAATGACTTTGGAAAACTATCTGGCAGCTTTTACCAAAGTTAAACATATCACTGATCAATTTCACTTAGGTACATAAATGTACAATGTTTGCCAAAAGGCTATGCACAAATGTTCCCAGCATTCAAGAATCCCTTGTAATAACCCTGTAACAAAGAGTCAGATTCCATTTTGGATGTCTGACCACTGACAGGTGTCAAGCCCCATCATCCATCTTTAATCTTTTGTCCCACACTGCACAAGCCAATAGGAAAGTCCAGGTGCACACCCCTTGGCACAGGCAAGAAGTTCAAGGCACACTAACTCTAGCCCATGGGAAGGGAGCCCTCACTGGGGACTCTTCCACCTTCCCCACACTCCCACCCAACCACAGTGAAAACCAGAGTCATGCCCCAACTTTTGCTCAAGCTTGAGTGTGAACCCTTCTTTCCCCAGAAAACCTCACTATGTGAGTAATAAGCCTTTTCAAGCCCTCAAAACACACACACACACACACAAGAAAAACAGCAATAATAAAAGATTATCTTCATCTTTCACATGAGAATTACAACGTGAAGAAGGCAGGTAATTTGATAAATGCCATACTCTAATTGAAGAGCAAAACTGAGCCTAGAACTCCTTTGTCATGATTTCAATTCATTTTCCCCTATGATTCTAGGTGGCCTTTCCCATACGGGATCTTATTAAATTCTCTCTCTCAGATCTTGTTATTTTTCTTGATGCAATGTGAATTGACACGAGCCATCTCTAGGATTAAAAGGATATAACATCAGGATAAATGGTAAGTCCTACAATTTCATAATTTACAGTGAAAAACTATAGTCCCTTACTATAGTTCATCTTCATGCTATAGAATATTAATCAATAAATGTTCATTGAGAATTTCCTGCCTGCAGGCATTTTGCTGGTTTGGTTGGGGATGCACAAAAAAAAAAAAAAAAAAAAAATTACCAACTCTGTTAGCCAGAGCAGCTTTTGAAAGTGCTTGTATTCCTACTTGGGAAGACAAGTGATAAACTCAACTATGTTAAATAGCAACAGCCCATGAAAATATGAAGTGTCACAAAACAGGCCATGAAAACTGCCATATGACTGTGTAGACAGAGATACAGAAAGGACAGAGGACATAAGGGTGGGGAGGCCATAGACAGGATTAGACAGATGCCTCATATCTGGGATTCCCCACAATTGAGAGCAGAGGCCCTCAAACTCCATAGACATGCAAATTCCTTGGAGAATTTATTAAGACACATAGTCCTGGACCCCACCTCCAGAGTTTCTAATTCAGTAGTTCTGGGGTGGGCTCGCAAACCTGCATTTTTACCAAGTTCCCAGGTGATGCAGATGCTTTGGGTAAGGGCCACGCTTTGAGACCCATGATTTAGAAATAACACACTCGAGAGGTGTCCCACCTGTGGCGCCTTCAAGGTGACTCCAGTAACATCAGCAGAAGGTGAAGGATCTTGGGGCAGGAGAAGGGAAGACTCACCACTTGGGACATCCAAAATTAATGCTGTTGGAGGGGTTTTGAGAACCAGGGAGACACAAGAGGCACTGAAAAAAAAAAAAAAGAATATTAAAAAAACAACCAAAAATGGAACCGTCCATTGGTGAGGATATACACTGTGAGCATAAGACTGTGTGACATCAAAGGATCCAGACTTGGGAGAACCTAGGACTATGGATACCTTTATACAGAGACACTCAGTGTCATCAATCAGCCAAGTGTATTCCAGCATCTGCTTGATACACTGAGCTAAAACAGAAAGAAAATCCTAATTTTGAAAAACAGCAACAAGATAGAAACTTATCAAAACTTTACTTTCTTGGGGAGACTGGGTGGCTCAGTCAGTTAAGCATCTGACTTTGGCTCAGGTCAAGATCTCACGGTTCATGGATTTGAGCCCTGCATCAGGCTCTGTGCTGACAGCTCAGAGCCTAGAGCCTGTTTCAGATTCTGTGTCTCCCTCTCTCTCTCTCTCTGACCCTCCCCTGCTCACACTGTCTCTCTCTCAGAAATAAATAAAAAACATTTTTAAAAATAAAAAAAACCTTTCCTTTCTAGAATTAAAATTCATGTTAAATGGAGTTGATGCAATGAAACATTATTATTCACCTCTACACATAAATGTTGACATAAAGTTCTATAAAAACAAACAGGACAAATGCACATCGTTTCTTTCAGGCATAGCTAGATTTCCCTGTCTTGGTGGTTTCTGTCATCCTCACCATATGCCTAAGAGTTCATGACTATGTCTATAAGTTATTTTTGAATCTACAACAACAACAAAAAAACCCTCCTGAAACCCCAATCATCATTGGTTAGCTATTTCTCATAACATAGTCAGGTGGGTCATTATTTTCATGATTAAAAGAAAGCTTTTTAAATGTATTCTTTTATTTTTGAGAGAGACAGAGACAGTGTGAGCAGGGGAGAGGCAGAGAGAGAGAGAGAGTAGGAGAGAGAGAATCCCAAGTAGGCTCTGCACCATCAGGATAGAGCCCAATACAGGGCTTGAACTCACGAAACCAAGAGATCATGACCTGAGCCGAAACCAAGAGTCAGATGCCCAACTGACTGAGCCATCCAGGTGCCTCCCTGATTTTTTTTTTTAATGAAAAGCCTCAGACACAGAGATTAAAGAGAACAAAGCGAGCCTTTGGGAGGGTTCAGAACAGAACTCAGGAACTACCCTTGAGGGCAAAGCTTAGCCATTTCCCCCCAGTTGATACTATGTCAGCTTCCCGAGATTATGGGATTCTGGAAAAACTGCCAGGGGAAATGATTTAGCTGATTTTTTTTATTTTAAGGGATCACCAGCCTTTAGCACTTTGACCCGTGATCATTTCTGAAGGGAAGCATAAAGTCACACCTTTGCAAGCCCCACAGTACGACTCAGCACCAACAAGGGAGAAAAGAAGGAAACCCATTACCTTTGATTAACATACTGCCCATAACTGGCAATGCACTTGACTTGAGGTTTCAAATATTCAGTTGAGAATTCTTCAATGGGTATGATACAAATTTGATGCTGTTGGGCAAATACAATGCAAAAAGGTACATCATGGTTATTAGCAATGGTATGGTCAAACATACTCTTCAAAAAGCTGTTAAGTACAGAAATTAAAATTGTTATTTTAAAGTAGTAAAAACTGCAGAATGACACTCCCTATGACACCATTATGTACAACAAACCCTTTCCCCTATTATACAGGATCACTGCCTAAATGCTCTTGGAATAGTCACATGAATAAATGAAATCATGAAGATTCAAAAACAACTCTTTGTCAGTGACTTTTCATGCCTGTTTTGCTCTCCTGCCCTGGGCTGATGCTACTCTTCAGATTCCTTGGCAGGGAGAGGAGGGATGTGGGAGGCAACGAGGGAGGCTGCCGTTCAAGCCTGTTGTCTCTAGCTCCTGCTACAAATAATCTTTCTTGGGACACCTGGGTGGTTCAGTTGGTTAAGCATCCAACCCTTGATTTCGGCTCAGATCATGATCTCACAGTTCGTGAGATCGAGCCGCGCAATTGGCTCTGTGCTGACAGCACAGAACCTGCTTTGGGATCCTCTCTCTCCCTCTTACTCTGCCCCTCCCCTTCTTGTGCTCTCACTCTCTCAAAAATAAATAAAACACATTTAAACACACACAAACACACACACACACAACCTCACAAATAATCTTTCTTCATAGAGGAGGACTTGAATCTCAGGTACATTTGGGCTTCATTGAAGGAATGGTCTTCTTATCAATAGATTTTATTTTGATCAAAACTGTATTACCAGCTTGATCACAAACCTCTTCAACAAACATTTTTAATGAATACCTACTATATGCCAGGCACTGAGACTGGGGGGTCCTGCAAGACCAAGATGGATAATACCCCCGCCCTCACGTAGCTTAAATTGTCGTTAGACATTTGGATGATATTGGACTCTGAATGACATTTGACTATTTCAAGAAGGGCAAACTTATGCTTAACTAGATGAAGATTCATTCCCATTATAATTCCCAAAGATGAGGAGGTTAAGATTTGCTTGGATTATGTTTAAAAAAAGAGTCACAATTTTAAAAAGAAAGTCTTAAGTCATTACATAATTTATGTAACAAATTTTAACTCAATTCAAGATGATTCTTCAGAAAAGGTTCAAAGTTTTTAATACTGTTAAGCACAAATATTTAAAACATATCAGAACAGGCTGGCCTGGCATTTCCCAGAATGTGATACATGCTTAATATTAGCAATGACAGGAAGTTGCTTCATACTTAGATAATCTTCTGTTCCCTGAGACATTTGTTATAAATCTCACCACCCCTTCCTAGTCCAGATCCCATTGCCTGTGGTTATCATAGTTCTCAATATTTAAGTCCTGCTATTAAAAGAAAGGCATGAAGGGTATTTAATCTGCCAAACTTGGAATTTTAACTCTTAATGACATATATCTAATTAACCAAATACTATACTTTTTGAGATAGAGTAACAATAGTCTGGAAAAGAAATACCAGGTGATTGCAACCTTGAAAATTCTGAAGGAATTGGCCAAGAAGCTAACAGACATAATAAAACAGAAAAATGGTAAAGAAAAAAAACAGTAACTAATGGCATTTCTATATACCAGCATAATAATAAACTAGGACCTATTAAGAACAAAAGATACTTCATTCATAATAGTGACAATGGATAAACATTAGTAAAATAGAGTTTTGTGAGATGTGTTCAGATTTGATGACCAAACTTTACTGGGTGCTATAAAAAGGCTCAAACAAAGGAAGAGGCAAGACAGAGTTGTAGATGGGAAGGAAAAACATCATTAAATTGGCAGCTCTTCACAGGTTCATTTTAGAGATGTGATACAAACCCAGCCAACATTTTTAATAAGGTTTAAAATACAGAGATATATGGGGCACCTGGGTGGCTTAGTCGGTTGAGCGTCCGACTTTCGCTTAGGTCATGATCTCGCGGTTCGTGGGTTCCAGCCCCGCGTCGGGCTCTGTACTGACTGCCAGCTCAGAGCCTGGAGCCTGTTTCAGTCTGTGACTCCCTCTCTTTCTGACCCTCCCCTGCTCACGCTGTCTCTCTCTCTCTCCCAGAAATAAATAAAAATATTTAAAAAAAAATAATAAATAAAATAAAATAAAATAAAATACAGAGATATCAACAAAATGCATCTAAAACTCAAAGGGCAAAAGAGATGCATACCAGAAGGAATCGGGCCCCACGTGCTTTGAGCTGAATGTCTGCATCTGCTAACAACTCATACACGGCCATGCGACTCCTGCCGTCAGTCACGACACTCCGGCAGAGGACGCTGCAAGAGGAAAGAGTTTTCTTAACCTGACTCCTTTGGTCTCCCTGACTTTGTGCTTTCCTGCGGGATAGCTAACTGCTCTTCAGTTTCTCCTGTTTACAACCAGGTCACCGACAGCAAATTTTCCAGCACAACGAGTTTAAGAGGGACGTATGCAGTCCACTATCAATATAAGAAAAAGAACCTTCTGACTGTGGTCTGAGCTGCACATCTCAGGGCCAAAGGCCTTGCTCACTTTTCCCAAATCAGCTTTATGTAATATTTAGTCTAGTCATTGGGAGAAAAAGCCCCAGGGGCAATAACGTCTGATCGCCAAGACACAACCTATGAGAAATTTACCAGTATTGTTGGTACCATTGGTGACAGAGGATGCCTGGCCTCACAGCGATGATTCCACACCGTGTCAGCACTAGGGCTGGCCTTACTCCAGTCATGAGACACCAGAGTTTACCTCTGCAAGCTCAGTCTGTTCTTCTCATCCTTCCTTCCTCATTGTATCAACTACGCTCCTTCCCTCCACCCCATCAGGTGAAATATAAAGTTCAGGAACATTTCAAAGGTCATGGTCTGGAACCAAAGAACACACTTGAATGGTACAACCCCTAAAGGAAGTATTTTTGGAGAAATGTTTCTGACTTCAGATTCTGTAGCAACTTTCCTGTCTGTAAATACAATTTGGAAACTAGAAATGACCCTCTAACCAAAGATGACTATCTCTGAGAAATATCTGAAAAGATTTATGCAATGACTTTTTGGTAAAGATTAAAACGAGATAGTCTATAAAGAGCCATGGTTAGAAACTCAACGAATGGGGCGCCTGGGTGGCTTAGTCGGTTGAGCATCCGACTTTCGCTTAGGTCATGATCTCGCGGTTCGTGGGTTCGAGCCCCGCGTCGGGCTCTGTGCTGAGTGCCAGTCTGTGACTCCCTCTCTCTCTGACCCTCCCCTGCTCACACTGTCTCTTTCTCTCTCTCTCTCCTAGAAATTAAAAAAAAAAAAGGAAAAAAGAAACTCAACAAACAGTTGTTTTCTCTTTTGTGCGTGCGTGTGTGTGAAATTAAAATGCATTCCTTTGGGATTCAATCATAATCCTGGGGGTTAAATATATTAGGTGATTCATTTAGACTTAGTTTTATCCATATCCTTTTAAAATTCTTCCTAAAAATAGACTAACGGTAATAACTGGGTTAATTTCATCATAAGCGGTCACCTCTCTTACAAAAGGCAGATCAGATTTATCACAACACTGTTTTGAAAAGTGGTGTTTTAGTTAGCACCGCTACTTTTCTGTTGGGATATTTTTTTTAAATAACACCCTGAGCACTCACTCGAGAAATGCTAGGACAGGTTCAACCCTCAGCAGGAAAAGCTGCAATGTTGAAAGGGGCCTGTCATTTGAAATGGGCTTTTCTGGGTCAAATATTTTCCAATCGCACCATATTTTTGGACGCCGGTCCTAACAGCCTGTTCATTTTCACTTGTCCACATGACAGGCAAAGTAGAGAAGAAGGAAATATTTTAGAGAAGTTGAAACAATAGTATGAGACTTTCCTGGAAATGGTTAAATACATTAAAAGTCCTAGTCTAATACAATACTGTCTTGGAACTCTAATGTCCCTGGTGAAGAACTTGGTGCGGTCATGTCCAGAGCCAAAATGATCTGCGGGATACTGCACCATTCTCCTCCCCAAATGCCGTTTGGACGGAGGTCATGAAACCAAGCTCGTGGCTTATGGAATCCTGGAAGGGTGACCTTTCTTTCCTTAGCTTGGAAACCACTCCTCTGCTTGGCATAGATGTTCTCAGCCTGTCCCGAGATGGTTCAGAGAGCCACCAGGGACATTAGGAGTGTTTCCTCCTGGGCCCTCAGCCATCGCTACCTTGTATCCTGTAGAGCAGGGGTCAAGCAATACGATCTGGAAAGTGGAGTCAGAGAGCTGAACCAGAGGGTGAACTTGGAAGGACAGGGTACAGAGGAGCCCCGCCTAGCCCTGTGGTCAACAGTCTCCAGGACTCAGGTGGTGAGGTGACCCACCCACCTAGGAGTGTACGTTCCAGTGGTTGCTGATGTCATCTACAGACGAAACTAACATTTTCAGATAATGACAGAACATTCTGGAGAACTTTTTTGGGCCCATGTGGAACTCCTACTAAAAAACCCAAATGCAATTATGTTCTTTGTTTCTGTTTTTGTTTTTTTTAATTTAATCATCACCTCAGAGAAAAGAGCTGATTAGATTTTTTAAAAGATTTTTCAAAGAAGTCCTCACAGGGTGTTACGCCAAGCAAAGTAAGTCAGGCAGAGAAGGACAGATACCATATGTTTGCACGTATAGGAGGATTAGGAGGAACTTAACGGAGGACCATGGGGGAGAAGAAGGGGAAAAATAGTGGGGGAGAGGGAGGGAGGCAAACCATGAGAGACTCTTGAATGCTGAGAACAAACTGAGGACTGATGGGTGTGAGGGGAAGGGGGGTGATGGGCATGGAGGAGGGCACTTGTGGGGATGAGCACTGGGTGTTATATGGAAACCAATTTGACAATAAACTATTTAAAAAAAAAAAAAGAAGCCCTCACAATTGCTTTTTTAGGGTTGCTGAGAGCATGATGTTAATTCAATAACCATTTCTTCAAGTCTCATAAAAGTTTCCATTCTAAGCTCCTAAAAGGAACTCTTTTCATAAGTTCTTTTATTTGCAAAACAGGGAAAATGTCCAACTACTTCAGGTCATTTGGAGTTTGACAAAAAGCCACAGGCAAGTGGTGGTAATAAAATGTTCAAGGCCTTGGCCAAGAATGGGGTGGGTTCATTGCAGTTCGCCACCTGCTGTCTGAAGAGACTGACTTCTGAGCCATATATTATACAATTCATTTCATGTGGAAAACACCCCATGCACTAATTCTTTAATTAAAGCATATTCTGAACATTTGCATATATCTTGAAATATTATAGAAAGAAAACAACTTTAAATAAATTGTTGTCAAATTTCTTGGAAGCCAGCAACTGATTTTAATCTAAATTTTAAAATCTTTGGTTACGGGCACCTGGGTGGCTTAGTCGGTTAAGTATTTGACTTGGGCTCGGGTCATGCTCTCACAGTTTGTGAGTTGGAGCCCTGCATTTGACTCTGTACTTGGCAGTGCGGAGCCCACTTTGGACCCTCTGTCCCCCTCTCTCTCTCTGCCCCTTCCCAGCTCATACACTCTATCTCAAAAATGAATAAGCATTAAAAAAATAATAAAATCTCTGGTTAATTCTCTTCCACCTGATGATCCTCAAACATTAATTATTCCCAGTTTCTACAGGGCATGTTGGGAAAGCAGTTGTGACAGAGACAGAGTCTTTTCTCCTTTTCCACACACCCATGTGCTCTACACAGCATGTGAGGTGAGAACAGAGCTCACTGCACCACAAAGGGGTGACAGAGAGTTAAATAAAAGGGTCATGCTGCTTCCTAGGCATCTGAGCCAAAACAGTGAGTAAAACACAGAGCTTTTCAAGAAAATGCAACATTTTCAAGATGATGCCCACAGAGAAGTCCCCCAATACTCACAGTGGGTGTGACGCCAGAGAGCAGACCCTGCTTGTTTTCCAGACTGCCTCAAAAAGGAAACAACATCCCAACCCAGATGAAAACCAAAGTTCCCAAAGCTAACCTCCTGATTGTTCGGGAACAAAGGAATCCCCCGGGGCAGGACCGATTACCTGTACTTGCAGCTGTAGATGTTCACCTGGCCTCCCAGGACAGACCCAGAGCTCTGCATGTGCACATCAACCACAGACAGCTGGTCTGCTCCCGTGGAATACTCCACCACGACCACATAGTGGCCGACCTGGGGAACCCGCAGCCGCAGGTGCACCTCCACCTGTCAGAGAGCCCGAGCAGATGGACATGAAACATGCTGGACGCATTTACATGGGCAACAGTGAGACCTGGGCTGAGCACACACCTGGGAACAGTGTATGTCACCACAGTAAGAACCGGGGTCCTATGGGTAGGAATGCCAGATGAGATACAGGATACTGGCTCACTCAGTTAAGCTTCCAACTTCGGCTCAGGTCATGATCTCATGGTTCATTTGTTTGAGCCCCACATCAGGCTCTCTGCTGTCAGCACAGAGCCAGCTTTGGATCCTCTGTTCCCCTCCCTTCCCCTCCCCTGCTCACGCTCTCTCACTCTCTCTCAAAAATAAATAAATAAACTTAGAAAAATACAGGATGAACCATTAAATATAAAATTCAGATAAATAACACATAACAATAAACTATTGTTTATCTGTGATTCAAATTTAATGGCGCATTGGTGTATTTTTTCTAACCTTACTTATAGGGGCTTTTACTCCTTTTACCCATATATGTGCCTTGTTTCTCAAGGCAAAAGACACTCTACAATTTGAGGTAAAAAGCGACCTCCAATGGGTGACAGAAGGATAGAATCATGCCTTGTGGCTCCTTTGCTGTTCTTCAATTTAAAAAATGAGCTTTAGATTCTATTGATGCAGATAATGTGAAGTGATACACGTACCCCGCTCCTGGGGTAATAACTAATAATAGTTTGGTTTTCATACTTCATATATACGTGTGAAAATGCACACATATGTACCTTTTTTTAAAAAAAAGAAAAACTGTCCTCATAGTAGGCAATCATGGATGTTTTTGTACCATCACAGCAGAGTTGAGGAGCTCCAACAGAGCCCATAAGGTTCATAGAGCTGAAAATATTTACTATCTGGACTTGTACCAAAAATAAAAACAGAAACAAAAATCAAAAACAAAACAAAACAAAACCCACCCACCCCTGACATCACCTATCGGTTAGGAGCTTAGAGTAAGGAATCACACTGCCTCTGGCTGTGTGACTGTGAGCCAATTACTTACCGTCCGTGTGCTCCAGTGTCCTCCTGTGTACAAATGAGGGTAACAAGACACCACCTCTTAAGATTATTATGAGGATAAACTCTTAGAAGTGTAGTTGCCATGTCGTAAACACTATGTAAACACCGATGATTATAACTGTGATTATTGCCTTTTGCTACAACTTGCTTTTTTCACTCAACAATATTTTTCCCGTCTACAGCAGTACATATGGATAAACTTCATTTTCCTAATGCCCCCCCCACCTTTCCATAGTATGAACATAATTTATTTAACTAATCCCCTATTGATGGGAACACATACGTTGTCTCTAATTTTCCCTATTAACATAGAATGTTATATGATCGTGTGTGTGTGTGTGTGTAGATAGACAGATATCCTTATGCTAGTATTTCTGTAAGATTCCTAGAAGTAGAATTGCTGGGTCAAAGTATGTGTGTATATTGAATGTCTGAGCCAATACTAGAAAGACATTCCACAGCAGTTTAACCCACTTCAGTCTGTAATCTCAGGCCCAGCCAAGCTTTACCACACTTAATTAAAATCCTCTCTCCCCCTGTCTTCAGGAAATTAATATTTACTGTTCTTTCTGCACAGCCCTGAACCACACAACTAATACTTTCCATGGTGATCTTGCTATCACTTATATAATAGAAATACTTCCCTCAGGGGGAAAAAGTGGATTATCCACATCACTTTTCCACCCTGTTAGGGAGTGAGATATAGGTCCATGTGGGGAGGTTATTAGCAGCATTTCTCCCCTGGGCATCTCCAAACAAGGGTTTCACCACCATAAAACACACACAAGCCGATGATGTATATTCACTTTTCTCCCAGAAGTTACTACTGGCTGACAGTTCTATCAGAGCGCTCGATTATAAGTTTCTATTGTTCTTTCCACCCTGAGTCCTATACATTGATTTTCTGGAAGATGCGTAGATGAAGTCTTTTGAATTCATCTAATGGTAAAGGTAGGTTTTGAGCAACTCAGGTAAATGATAAATGATGGCAAGTAGAAACTTTAGTATTTGCTATTTGTTATCAGTTATTTATCTTAGTAAAAGGGAACTTTAACAGAACCAGTGTCAGACTGGAAGGATACTTCTGGTTTTATAGCATAGAACTGCCCTCACCTTTTTATGAGGGTTTCAAGATAAAGACATAAAAGGCAGGCATGTCAAATCTGATGCTTACACAAAGCTAAGAGGGATGGTTAACACATCTGATATCAAAATGAAGATTCAAAATGAAATGGTCAATCTATCCTTATTAAACACGTCTTCTATGCCAGCTCACCTGATGGGCATACAATGGAAAACAAGACAGACCTGGTCTCTGCCTTCAGACCGACTTTAATCAAATGATTAGGTAATTAGACAAACGTAATGTGAAATTACACCGATGACGAATATTCTGAATAGGTTCTTAGCGGACTGCCTGAGCCCGTCAGGGAGACTAGGGAAGGGGGAAGACTTCCTGAAGAAGCAACAACTGGCTGAGTGCTGGAGGACAAGGGACAGATGGCCAGGCCCCAAGGGGAGGGAGGAGCATTCAGGCAGAGGGAACATCTTGCAGTAGGATGTTACCCGAGGACATACAGGCTGTAGGGTAGCAAATAATGTTAAGTCCAAGAGCCTGAAGGTAGGCCACAGTGACAAGGAACAGAAAGCCAGAGAAGGCACTGGGAGGTAAGAGGAGTGGTGGCCGTAGAGGCCATTAAAACCTTTTGTCTCTATCCTAGGAGCAGTAAGTCGTTATCTTAATGTTCGAGTTGTGTATGGGTGAGGATGGGGTGAGAGCGTCCGTGATGATTAGATATCATATTTCTATCAACATGAATATGCTGACTATCATATGGAGTCTGGGCTGGGAGATGCGATGGTCAAGAGCTGGTGTGAGTGAACTAATCAGATTACTGCAGAGATCCTTATGAAAGATGATGATCAAATATTGGGCAAGAACAGTACATGAAGGGAAGTAGAGATATTTAAGGAAAGTGTGGAAGTAGACTTGGGGATGGATTGTCTTTGGTGAGGGAGGGAATGGAAGAAATAATGGATGACCCTAAGAATTCTGATTTATAAAATTAGATGGATGGTGGTACCATTTACATAGTTACTAAAATGTAATTTGCGATCCCTTTGAGGCACCTAAGAGGTAATGTCAGGAAGGAAGTTGGCAATGTCGCTCTGCATACATATAAAGGGACAGGTATGACTGGACATACCAATTTGGGAGTTATCTGTGTAGAGTTGGTATCTAACACAATAGGCTTGGAAGAGGCTGCTTAGGGAGAGAATATAAAGTAAAAAGACAAAGGCTAAAACTGAACCTCAACAAATTCTACCACTTAATGGCTAAATAGAGGTTGAAACTATAAATGATATTCTGAGGAAGCACCCAGAGAGGTAGGAAGAGATCCTGACCACCTTAAATTATGAAAAACAAGGTACAAGAGTGTTTTAACATGGAAGAGGTGTTCAATAAGTATTCAAAGCTACTGAGAAGTTAAATAGATCAACACCTCAGGAATGAAAAATAATCACTGGATTTACTGACAAGAACATCATCAGAAACAGAGAGAGAGACAAAGGGGGGGGGCAGGGAGAGAAAGGAAGGAAGGAGGGAAGGAAGGAAGGAAGGAAGGAAGGAGGGAAGGAAGGAAGGAAGGAAGGAAGGAGGGAAGGAAGGAAGGAAGGAAGGAAGGAAGGAAGGAAGGAAGGAAAGAGTGAGGGAGAGACAGAGGGAAGAAAGGTAATGGAGAGGGAGAGGTGAAGGCCAGACTGCTGTGGGTTGAGGTATGAATGGAAGTGAAAGAATTAGAAACAGTATAGAATTGTCTAATTCTTTGGAGAAGTTTGGTTGTGAAGGAGACAAGAGTTATAGCTAAGGGACTGTGGGAAAGGAAAGGAGGGTTTTAATAAAAAGGGGATAGAACTTAGCGTGTTTACAATATGAGGGTGACTCCAAGTTCAGATGGCGCAGTGATTTGGCATTTTCTGCACGCCTTCTGCTCCAAGAGACAGCAACTATAGATAAACTGTTTTAAAAGGAAAACAAAAAGACATGTTTGAGATTTTTCAAGTGATGGAACACAAGTAAAAGAAAAACTTGAAATGCACCGGGGCTGAAGTCGGGGGCCTACTGTCCTCGGAGTCTGGAAACAGGCTGTCTTGGTCAGCAGGTCAGCTCATGTGGAATAAAGAAAACTAAAGATGCCTCAACGAGACAGTGGTCAGATCCAGGCTCATTTTTTTAAGTCAAAGAGGAGGGTTCCCTCATATCATGAAAAGCTGAAAAGGTTGCTGACAATCTGCCCCTTGGGTTTCAGCTTTATAACAAGCTGTAGAATCTGAGAATCAAACATCAAAGATGCAGCCTCATGACCAAAAAACTGATTTAAGCCACCTACTTGCTCAGTGTCTAAATCTGTGTTATCCCCAGGATCAAGGCAATAGAAGTAGCACATTGTAATGTTTGCCTCTGAGCTAAGGCTCCAGAGGACTGGTGAGACACTGCAAAACCACTAGTCTGAGATGGATAGAGAGAAAAAGGGAGAGGATAAAAACCTTTCATTCAAAATAAGCCAATAAGCCTGCAAACAAAATAAGCCTCCAAAACACATAAAGAAATCTAATGTTAGAAACACGCAACAATATCATCAATCAGCAGATGAATTTACTTCAGATAAGATGAATTTTGTGGAATAGTCTGATAAAGACTCTAAAATGAATATACTGGTCCCTAATCTGAAATCTTCAAACTTGGAAAAGGAAATCTTTTTTGGATCTTCTTTGGCTGAAAAACCTAATCTAACCTATACAATCATCACTTGTTGGCAAAATCTGATTTGAACTAAGTCCGTGTATACAGTCCTTATGTACTTCTCTTGGAGTGCCTGTTCATGCTTTTTTTTTTTTTTAATAGTTTTATTTATTTCTAGGAGAGAGAGAGGGACAGTCAGTGTGAGCAGGGGAGGGGCAGACAGAGA